AAAACCCGCAGCAGGCTCCTCACTCAGGGGCGCAGGCCGTGGACCCCGAGGCCAGGGGTAGGACAAGCACCTGCTCCTCCCACTTCCATGCCAGCAGCAGGGTCCTAACTCAAGGCAAGAAGAAGCAGAGGAACGATACAAGGGGAAAGGAAGAAGGGATACCCTGCTGGCCCATGACAGGGCCTTCATACAGGACATCCTCAGGTCTCGTGACAGGTCTCGAGAGCTATCAGGGCTCAGCATGTGGCAGGTCCTAGTCGAACACAAAATGATGGCATCTCTCCAGGAGGACGAGGTGCGACTTGCAGAGGCTAGGACACAATGCATCTGCAGTGACATCACCAAGAACAAAATGCCAGCCCTGAGCGAGGGGAGAACTGCCGAGGGAAGGGCTCTGAACCACCTGCAGAGGTGTGCACACCTGTAGCACGACCACCCACACCAGCTGACGGGTGTGTGCACAGGGGACGGCTGCTCTCAGCTCATGGCCAGATACAGAACCAACCAGGGCTGACAGACAGAAGCCGGGAAACCTGGTGCTGGACCCAGAGCTGTCCTTAAGAAGGAGGGACTGCCACACTGTGGCCACCGGGTGAGCCTGGAGGACCGCAGACAAGTGAAAAAGGTCACAGGAAGAAAACGCTGCATGATCTCCCGCGTGTGGAAACCAGCACAGCCTGGCTGTGCAGCGCGAAGGTGGTGCCGGGGCTGGGAGGGGAGGAAGGGGAGACGTCCCTCAAAGGGCCGAGAGCTGCCTGAGATCGTGTTCTGGGGGCCAGTGCCCAGCACTGTGGCCCAAGCCAGCCACACTGGACTGCGCTCAGGTGAGCTCTGCTCTAAGTGCCTGCTGATGCGGAAGGAGTGAAGTGTGCACGCGCAGCCAGCTGGCGCGGGTGGCCGTGCCGCCAGGTGTGCACACCTGGGGTCCGTGCTGCAGTCACACGGGTTCCCGGCCCTCTGGACCATCTGGGTCCTGCCTGGGCCTGGACACCGGGCAGAATGAGCTGTGCAAGGCTCGTGATCTTGAAGGGGCGGGAATCCGTGCAGGGCTCAGCCGGCATCATACGAAAAATATTTGTAGGTTGCCAGGAGCAAGAGGTAAGCACTTGGGCATTTTCCCAAGGAGGTGGTCTTGTCTCCTCCTTGAATCAAGTTAAACAGAAACCTCGAGCTAACTGAAGCGTCCTAAAGCATAGCAATGTTTACTAAGATCTGCATCTAACCAGAGGCCCTGGATGTGGACGCCCTATGGCCCAGAAGCCTGGGAGCTCCTGGCAGAGGGGCAGGGACTGCTGTCCTGGGCCAGCACAAGGAGCCTCCCAGGGACCCGAAGGCCCTCCCCTGCCTCCACATGTCCCACAGGTGCCACGGATGGGGCACTTCTGAGAGAAGCCAGAGATGCTTGCAGCCCAGCGTGTCCAGCAGGAGCCCCCAAAGTGCCAAGAGCCCCAGGCAGACGCAGGGAGCCCATCTCCCTGCGCCCCTCCCTCTCAGGCTAACAGGGAGCACACCAGCTTACAGGACCCAGCGGCTACCCCGGCCTCGGCTTCCCTCCCAGGCCAGCGGGGTTTAGAGGCAGCAGGAGAGGTGTGGAGCACGGCCCAGCGCCCAGCGCCATGGCCCTGGACCCATCACTCACACTCATCGCTCAGCGGCCTCCATGGAGCCAGGGCTTCTTGGAGGCAGGGCAGGCCCATGTTCACTCTCAGCAGCAACCGGCTCTACCCAGCAGGGCCTCACTTCCGTTCCCCAGGGCCTGAGGGACAGGCCCCAGACACAGCAAGCTCCTGAAGAGTCCCCAGTTGGGAACTGACTGCCAGCTCCAGCAGTGCAGGGGTCCTGCAGGGTGCCTCCCCCTCCCCAAGTCCAGCCAGGTGCTGCCCTGTCCCCACACACCATGCACCAGTCCATCCCCTCAAATCTCTTGGGAGGGCTAAGGAAGAGATGGGGACAGGTTAAAAGCCCAGCTGGACCCATGAGTACAGAGACCTCAGGTGGTGTGTAGGTGTGAGGGTCATGTGCAGGGCCAGGTGTGCAGGTGAGGGTAGTGTGCAGGGCCAGGTGTGCAGGTGAGGGTGGTATGCAGAGCCAGGTGTGCAGGGAGGCCCTGCTGGCTCTAGGTAGGCCCTGGGGAGGAGGCAGCAGGCCTGGGCCTCCCCCCACTGCAGGGGCTCACTTTCCCCAACCCCCCCAGGCCTCAGATGCAGCCGAGACCTGCCAGCTCCGAGTCAGTCACTTCCTGATGCCAGGACCAGAGCCCAGCATGCCCCCCAGGACCTCAGCACCACCGAGGGACCTGGCACCAGCGTGGGGAGGGCTGAGTCCCTGTCTGGGTCCCCCACCCATCCTTTCCTGTCCCACCATGGCCTTGTGCTTCTGCACCCGCCTCCCACTGGAGTATGAGTGTCCAGCCCAACAGGGGCCAGCAGGCATGGGGGCACACTCCAGGGCAAAGGAGACTGGGGAGGGGGTGAGTGACCAGGACAGGGAGGACCCTCCCTGCCCCCGCCCTGTCTCCCAGCCAGGCCTGCGAAGGGCTCCTGGAATAATGACACTGCCACCCACCTCTGGCCTGAGGCGCTGTGGGCCAATTATGGGGTTGGAAGGGTCCCCCAGGACCCGTCTGGGGACACAGCCAGTACGTACAGATGTCCTAGCAGCTTACTGCAGTGAGATGCTGTGAGGACGGCCTGAGCTGCCCCGGCCACGCTGCAAGGACTGACCCCCGCCAGAGGAGAGGGGGTCTTCACTAACACCCGGCAGGAGCAGGGCTTGCCCACGGCTTTCGGGCTACATCCAAAACAGATGGGAACAGGTGGGCCAGGCCCTTCCCCTGCCCTTGGCAGCGCCCACCCCACCCCCACCGTCTCTTCGGGCCTGGATGGGCAACTTCCCACAAGGCCAAGCCCTCCTGCCAGACGCCTCCCTGGGGCCCACCCTGACCAGCACAGCTGGGGGCTCAGAGCCAGGCAGCTCAGCCAGCTGTGGCCTGTGGGGGCCGCAGCCAGAGCTGGCTCCCCGTGGGGGGCTAAGGGACATGGCCACTACTGCGGCTCCAGCTGCCCTCTGATAAAATCTAGGCTGACCCTGGAGTGGCCCTGCTTGGTCCCTAATGCAGATAAGGCCCCTGGCTTCTGCACATCAGGCCCCCCTGAGCAGGCCCTGCGCCCCACCCCTCCACATCCACCACCCCTCTCGTTCACAGCCACCAGGCAGGAGCCACGGGGCCCCCAGAGCCACCTCCACTGCCTGCCTGTCCCCGGCAGTCCTGCCCCTCGTGTGCTTCTCTCCTGGGCTTGGGCACTGACCATCATCGGCATCTGGCACTGCCTGGCCTGTGGCCCTCCTCGGTGCACCCCAGACCTGCCTGGCGTCCACAGGGACCTCTGCTGAGCAAACTGGGCCCTGAGAATGCTGGGATGTACCCAAGCTCGCCCCCCATGGAGCCAGCAGCGGGCGTCCACACAAAACCCCAACCTCAGACACCCAGCTCAGGTCCAGCCTGGCTGCCCCGTTCCAAAGGCCAGGAACGAGGGTCAAGCCTGCTTCCCCACGGAGAGGACAGAACACCCACGCTCTGTACAGTGGCCAAGGTCACCGGGCACCAACTGCCGCTGAGGAGCTGGGACTGGGAGGGGCCAGCGGCTGGGGCCTGTCATGACTGCCCTGTGCCGGGGGTGGTCGGAGAGCCTGCTGTTCCTTCCTCTGCCCTCGCCTCTGCCCTGCTCAGCCAGCAACAGTGGCAGGCCGTGAGTGACGGGCCTCTGTGGGTGGGGACACTGCCACCAAGACAGGCAGGCTGCTTGTTCAGAAGCTAGACAGGCTGCGCTGAGTGACCGCCCAGTGTGCACAGCAGGCCAGGCCTCAGTGGGCCCCGGTGTGGCCCAGACCTGCCAAGTCCATCCCTGCAGCCCACTCAGCAGAGCTGGCTGAGCGCCCAGGGTCAACTTGGGACCGTGCAGCCTGATGCCCAGGAGCAAGGACAGAACCCCCCAAACTGGTAGGAGTTCTGCTCCCTGGGTCAAGTCACGTCACTGCTCCACACCTGTCTCCCAGGGCCACCTCAGACCACGGTGAGAACTGAACACACTGAAATGTGGGGGACACTGGCCCTGATGACACCCCAACGCACGGCAACAGGGCCCCTGTGGTCACATCCACCCCCTGGCCCTGCCCAGACCCAGGACCTCTGCTCAGGGCACCATGCCCCAGCCTCCGCCTCCCCAGCTGCTGCTAATGGGCGCCCACGTTGGGCCCCCCCCGCCAGGCTCCAAGGAGAGTGGGGAGTCCAGAAGCCGGCCAGTTACCTGCAGCTGGCCCAATGAACACACAGTGCCCGTCCTCCTGGGCAGGGAGCAAGGCACAGGCGACCGGCAGCCGGCCCCCATCCAGGTGACTCCAGCACGCATCCTGCAGAGCCTCACAGAACTGGCGGCAGGGCGGCAGGGCTGGCAGGGGGCCCTGGCCACAGGGCGGGGCCAGCAGCAGGCAGAAGAACCAGGTGAGGAAGGGGTGGCAGCGTGTTTGGAGGAGGCCCCCCCACGCCCGCGCAGCGGCCTGCACCTCCTCGCCGCTCTCATGGTGGAGATGGTTGGGCAGCCAGGAGCGCCCTAGGCCCAGGTGGCCGCAGATGGGCAGGGTGGGCGGCAGGGGCAGGCAGCGGCCAGTGGGAGTCGGAGGGCCAGCCCCGAGCAGTGCAGAGTTATTAGCGAGACCAGGCCCCGCAGAATCAGCCACGTGGGAAACCCAAGCACCACGGTTCCCCGTTAAAGCTGCCACAGGGTGTGCGGAAAGAGCAGGGAGGGCACTGTGCGCACCAGGAGGACCCGTCACCAGGGGAAGCACGAGAGGCGAGCCAAACGCAGGGCGTCCGTGGGGCTGGCTGGGACCAGCTGCTGCAGGCCAGTGTCCTTTCCCATTCAGATGCTGGACCCTCCCTGGGGACATCTGGCTTCCCCAGGGAGGGTCCCTGCCCAGCACGGAGGAGAGAGGAGCTCTACCTGGGGACTCCCGTGGCACCGAGTGCCCCCTCAGTGGTGCCTGGAGCCTGTCCAGGGAGGGAGGCGACTGGGTGGGCACAGCCAGAGTGCCAGACTCGGCCGTCCAGGTGCCCAGAGAGCTCAGAGCTCCTCTGTGAGGCCCGAGAGTGGTCCCGCTCTCCTCGGGCGGGCCGGAGGGCCCCGCGAGGGCCAGAGGGTCCGTGGGGGCCGAGGCGGATCCAGCAGAGCTCTGGGTAGGGGTGGCCTCGTTCCACAGCTGGACGATGCTCTGGATGCCCTGGGCTATGCTCAGGATCTTGGCTCCCACTCCCGCGACGTTCTCCTCCCTCGTGTCCGGGCTTGCAGCTGGGGCGGCGGGGGCGGCGGCACTGATGGGAGCGCCAGGAGCCCTGCTTGGGGCGGCCTTCGGATTCTCCAAGGGTGGCCTGGGGCTGGCAGGGGCCGTCCTTTGCTCCGCGGGGTCATCCTGGGGGGCCACGTGTGTGGCGGGGGCCGCTGCAGGCTGCACGGGCAGGCTGCCCTGGGGCTGGGAGACCAGTGTGTCCTCGGAGTCGGTGATGTCGGTGGACCACAGCCAGTCCAGGGTCAGCAGGTTGGCCCAGGAGGGCACAAGGCAGCAGGTGAGCAGCAGCAGCAGCCGGCCAAGGCGTCTGCTGGGGTCCGGGGCCATCAGGGCTGTGAGCGCCGGCAGGAGCAGGGGCGTCTTCTGCCACCGGGAGGAGGAGCCAGCCGGCCCGCCCTTCCGCCTCCCCACCCTCTCCAGCCTCCTCGGGAAGTCCCTTCTTCCACACTTCACTCCCACAGGACAAAAAGGCCCAAACCAGGGAGTCAAGGTGACCTGTGCCCTTGGATTCACCTTAACCCCTTCCTTCCCACAGAAGCAGGACACAGGGACATTCTGAAGACGCCCAGCAGAATTCCCAACTTGCTCTAGAGTCTTTGCCTGGGGAGTGTGTAGGCGTGGGGGCCTCAGGCCAGGACTCCCAGCCCCTGGGGACACTGAGGCAGCCGCAGTCCCCCTCACCCTGCAGCAAAGCACACCCAGAAGTCCTGGCCCCCAGCCACGGCTGCTTGTGGTAAACTTGGAACTTGAAAACCGTTCAACTTGCTGCAATTCCTCTCTGTTGCAATTGCTGCCTCCCAGGGGCGAAACATGGAGGCCGGGGAGGGAGTGGCCCCTGAGGCCATTGCCTGGACCTCCACCCACCCCAGGCCCCTCCACCTCCCTGCAGGCCTGGGTGGACACTGCTTTCCTGCTTCATTTTTAACCCTGCATCGGAAGTCCCCTCCCCACCCAGGGGAAAGCAGCCCCTTCTCCCCAACCCCAGGGTTCTCCTGGGCACTCAGGTCCCGCAGGCGTGTCCACGCTAATGCAGCATCAGTGGGGATCACTGTGACGGCAAAGGGACATTAGGGGTTTGTTGGGATCCAAGGGACCATCGACAGACAGCAGGCTCCCTGGCACACAGGCACGGCACTGCCCAGTAGCCTGTGGGATACCTCAATCCCTTGAGTCCCCTGAGATGGGCAGGTGGGCAGGTACTGGCCACAGCCTGCATGCCAGCCCAGGGGCTGCCTCAGCTGGTGGCCCTGAGGCCCTGGCCCCCACCATCTCAGCTCCATATGGTCACCGGGCAGCCCTCAGGACAGCGTTCTGCGTGGGGCCAGTCCTGGGGCACTGCCACTGGTCCAGCAAGGGAGCTCTCCAGGCCCACAGTCTGCGGCCACACGGAGTCCTGCCCTGGCTTCCTTCCCCCAGCCTCAGGTGGCATCTCCTGACACCCAGAGGCCTAGAGGTGCTGCACGTGCTGGCTGCGTCTCCTCCGGGGGCACAGAAGGCTCTGTGGCTCAGGCAGCGATGCTTGGGTCACACTCCCATGTCCGCCGTCACTCTCCCCATGTGGCAGGGCCAGTCCTGCCTGCCCACTCCATGGAGGAGACCTGAATGGCCCACCCAGTACCCACCCTCTGTGCTGATGTCCAGTGCCTACCTGCCTGGGCCACCAGCCCTGCAGCAGCAGGAGGCTGGGGGGAGGCGTGGACCAGCCCGACACCTGGCCCCCGTGACAGCACGGCCTTTGGTAAAGCCAGACTTGAGGCAGGCTAGGCTGCTGTCACCTTAAAATGAGGAAACTGGGGACCCAAGGGACGAGGCAGCCCAGGAGGGTCAGGAGCTGAGCTCTGTTTGGTCAGCACCATTCTGCAGGCCCCTCCTCTGTGCCCAGCTCCACCTCATGGTGTGGGCCAAAAGTGCCCGAGTGAGCCCACGTCAGCCCAGGTGAGCC